TTGTGACAATTCGAATGGTAGTTTTGGCTATCGTAACCTCTCTTTGTATTTTGAGCTGACTGAATTTTGATTCATGATCGACTGTCGTCCTGAAAGAAGGCTAAAAGGACCTGTTTTCCGTGTGTGAGTGGTATTGGGTATTAGAGGGGGATTAGAGGGGGACATTTGAGGACAATGGCTGTAAGCAGGATGTCAGTCAGCAGCCTGTAGGATGTGTATGTGTGTGAGGACTGTGGGGGGTGGGGGGGGGAGGTCACTAGTTAACTAAGTTCAATGAGTTGGAACGCTAGGAAATCGACTGTTTATGAAAGGTGGCATTTTGATCGTACACCATCGTGTGGACGAGGGGTACCGTGGGAAGACATTGGCTCATTGAAACGCATCACTTGTTTGCCCATTGAAAGAAAAAAATCGACTCAGCTATCAAAGAACGGTCGCTGTATGAATGCGTTTATGCACTGCTGGGAGGGGACGGGGAGTTGGAGACAATGTGAAACTGGAACACACCACGAGTAAAGAAGACACTCACAGTTACCAGTCTCCGTGGCCCGGGCGGATACCGGGAACCATGACTGGCGTGTGCGCGCCTCCGTCCAACGGCTCTTCACCGGCCGTTCTCCGAACGCGCTCCTGTCTGTGTGTGTGTCTGTCTGTGTCGCACCGTCCCACTTTCCAGGCTGTGCTACGCGGTATGCCGTACGCAGCACAGTTCGTGGTAAACGTGCTGCTTTAGGCCAACGTCCCCGTGTGCTATTTAAACCTTAATTGATTTTGAATAATAGGGGATACTAGGGTGACCCGCGTGCTCCGCAACGCGAAAAGGGGTATTTTCGATTGACGGATGTTTGGTTGTTCTTGTGTCGGTTTGGTTATCTATCCATTTCGGTCGATTGCTTTTTGATGGCTAAATGATTTGGTTTGGAAAGAATATCCATCGCATCGAGGTGCCCGTGTCTGATAAGCATGCTTTTTACTTCAAAATCTGTCAAATGTGCTTTATAATTGAGGTGCGTAGTTTTAAGACAAATGAAAGGCGTAGATAATTTTCGCTAAAAATCGTTTTGCAGAGGTTTAAAACATTTATATTTTTAAGAATACTGTTGCTTGTCATGCAAACGTGATGATTGGATCTTGGAGAGAATTGAATGCTCTTTCTAATGATAGCATTTTCAATTGTCAAGCGTATCAGGTTAAGCAACAAATCCCGTGTACCTTTTTAGTGGCACATTATGGACAAATACCATTTTAATTCAGCGATTTTTCCACATTGTTTTTGATCAATTAGCTGTCCACAATTTTTCCATGAGAGGCGGTACATTTCTCTTGGCAATTGACGTTGTTTCAACTCTCTCAGTCTGATGGTCACGGGAAAATAAAATAAAATCCAAAATGCGTTTAAAATGGCACTTTTTGAAATGAAATTGCCCTCACACTTGCACGTGGCGCGTGCCACCCTTGCACCGCACACTATTCGATTGCCCGTTCGATTCTCTACACGATGCTGTTTTCCCCGTGCCGATCGGGCGCACGGCTACCGAGATATTGCACGGGGAACGGACCCGTGTCGGGCAAATTTAGCCATTTTCGCCCGTTTTTGCCAGCCAATTTATACATGTAAAGTCTATGACGCGAATTTGCACTTTTTGGGCACGCGCCTCGCGCTCGCTATCGATCCGATCGAGCCGAGACCGCTCAAAGGCACGTTGTCCATCCTTGTTCTATAACTTGCGCAAATTTCAGCGCGGTAGGTGCAACGGTGTGACCTGTAACCCGCGCTACGTAGCACCATGTCGCGACCTTCGTAATAGACAGAAACTACGCCCTCCTCAAATAGTAATATAGACAAGCGGCTGCGCCACTTGCTTTGCTGCGTGGTAGGAAAAATTGCGGCACCAGCCAATGTGCTTTCGAATGGTGTTTGATTCATGTCGATGTGTCGTCTAGAAGCATAGATATGGACGGAAATGTGAAAAGAATTTAAAAAGAACTGTTCTGAGGGCGTTGTTGGATGAAATTTGGGTGATACGGGGTCAATACGGGTCAAAGGGGTCAGCCTCGGTCACTTTGGGTCAGGCCAGGTCACATAGGTCACCTCTCGTCCGCTGGGATCAGCCCGGGCCACTGTTCTGCTTTTGTCTCCACCACTACCCCTTCCCCTACCACTACCCCTACCACTACCCCTACCCTACCACTACCCCTACCCCTACCCCTACCACTACCCCTACCACTACCCCTACCCCTACCCCTACCCCTACCCCTACCACTACATCTACCCCTACCACTACTACTACCCATACTCCTACCCCTACCACTACCCCTACCCCTACTACTACTCCTACCACTACCCCTACCCCTACTAACACCGCTGGGTCATGTCAGGTCACAGAATAATTCGTGCCATTCCATTGCCCTTACTCGATTTTGTCGGAAATGGCGCTTTGTGGCAAATGTGGCGCATTGCGGCAAATGCGGCGCATCTGTACCTGTTGTTTGAGCATGCATCTTGGCACCAAATTGCACCCATATCGGACCATATTTGACAAAACTGTGCGATTTGCGGCAAAAATGACGCCTTGTGACCAATGTGACGGATTGCGGCAAACGCGGTGCATTTGTATACTCGTATCACAAATTGTTCCCATTGAACGAAAATCAACACATTTTTCGCCACTTTTTATTCAAATTAAAACTTGCCCATCCGCCAATGCGAGGCACTCGCCGCCGATCGGCATGCATTTAGTCCACAAAGTTTGTCGACCCCGGCTCTCAATGAAGATCTACGAACCGATCAAAATTTCATTGGCGTTCTTCCAGCGCGCCCCACGCGCGAACCGTGCACCCCAGCGAGCCGAAACCTAGAAAAGGCACTGACCCGTTCTGTCACCTATAAGGTGTGCAAATTTCAACCCCCTACGATATACCGTCTGCCCTGTAGGCCGGCTAAATTGAACCCACTACACGGCGTGGCGGACAGACAAACAAACAGACAGATGGATCCTGTTCAAATAGTAAGTTAGACAAGCGGCTGCGCCACTTGCTTTGCTGCGTGGTAGAAAAAATTGCGGCACCAGCCAATTTGCTTTCGAATGGTGTTTGATTCATGTCGATGTGTCGTCTAGAAGCATAGATATGGACGGAAATGTGAAGAGACTTTAAAAAAAGAACTGTTCTGAGGGCGTTGTTGGATGAAATTTGGGTGATACGGGGTCAAGACGGGTCAAAGGGGTCAGCCCCGGTCGCTTTGGGTCAAGCCAGGTCACATGGTCACCTCTCGTCCGCTGGGATCAGCCCGGGCCACTGTTCTGCTTTTGCCTCCACCACTACCCTACCACTACCCCTACCCCTACCACTACCCCTACCACTACCCCTACCACTACCCCTACCCCTACCACTACCCCTACCACTACCCCTACCCCTACCACTACATCTACCCCTACCCCTACCACTACTACTACCCATACTCCTACCCCTACCACTACCCCTACCACTACCCCTACCACTACCCCTACTACTACCCCTACCACTACCCCTACCCCTACTACTACTCCTACCACTACCCCTACCCCTACCACTACACTACCCCTACCCCTACCCCTACCCCTACCCCTACCCCTACCCCTACCCCTACCAACACCGCTGGGTCATGTCAGGTCACAGAATAATTCGTGCCATTCCATTGCTTTTACTCGATTTTGTCGGAAATGGCGCTTTGTGGCAAATGTGGCGCATTGCGGCAAATGCGGCGCATCTGTACCTGTTGTTTGAGCATGCACCCTTGCACCAAATTGTACCCTTATCGGGTCATATTTGACAAAACTATGCGATTTGCGGCAAAAATGGCGCCTTGTCATCAAAGTGGCGCATTGCGGCAAACACGGTGCATTTGTATACTCGTATCACAAACTGTTTCCATTGAACGAAAATCAACACATTTTTTCGCCACTTTTCATTCAAATTAATAACTTGCCGATCCGCCAATGCGAGGCACTCGCCGCCGATCGGCATGCATTTAGTCCACAAAGTTTGTCGACCCCGGCTCTCAATGAAGATCTACGAACCGATCAAAATTTCATTGGCGTTCTTCCAGCGCGCCCCACGCGCGAACCGTGCACCCCAGCGAGTCGGAACCTAGAAAAGGCGCTGACCCGCTCTGTCACCTATAAGGTGTGCAAATTTCAACCCCCTACGATATACCGTCTGCCCTGTAGGCCGGCTAAATTGAACCCACTACACGGCGTGGCGGACAAACAGACAGACAGACAGATGGATCCTGTTCAAATAGTAAGATAGATGTGATAGCGGAAAAGTACCGGTTGTTGATCTAATATTCTTTTCTTTGTAATGAATTGCCAGGTTCTAACTTGCTCTTAGATTTATTTTACAAAGGTTCGTACTTCGTGGACCCCATAGGTGGAAAGGCTTCCTATGTTTTATAGCATAACTTTGATATGTCTGTTTAGCTACCCAAAACCCGAAAAACATGTCGCTTCCATGTCACAGTAATAAATACGCTCGATATAGCTCGTGTTGCGGATGTTCTATCTCAACATTTGTTCAAAATGCTCACTAGTTATGTAACGCAGTACGATTTATGTAACACAGTATTTGTATGAACCTCTATGTAAAACTTTCTTTCTGATGTGTTTTCCATTGATGACTGACATATAAGGAGTTGCCTTTTGACATGACTACGTATGATAATTGCTTTCTTGTCTTGGGCCCTTTCATTCGGCAACCGGAATGTTTTCCGTCCGGTACTTCAATATAGTGTCAGTATGGCCTTTTTATAGTAAATGGTCGTTAAAAAAAAAAAAAAAACACCTCATGATGTGTCCGTACTGGTGATCTGTTCTTTTTCATATCATTGTCTCGATGTCGACTCGATAATATATATAGTCGGCGTGTACAGTCGTAACTTCTCGTACCGTGCTCAGTGCGATACGGGTCAGGTCAGCACAGCCCACCCTGCTCCCTCTGACAGCAGTTGACCGTTGTGTTGCAGTTGATTCCAACGACGTTCTGTACGGCGGCGATCCGCAACTGCTGGCCGAAATCAACTCACTGGCCGATGACGTCATCAAAACTGTGACGTCACATCTTGTCAGCCAATCGCCACTGAGCCGGGCTCAGGTCAGTGTATAGTTCTGTCGGTGAATGAAAACGCGCTGATGTCGTTTCTTCTGCATCATTCATTATTTGATAGCCATCATTATTTAACAGTACCTTTTGGAAGGTAGTCTTGCATGATTCCGTGTGATATGCTTATACACTCGGTGACATACCAGGCAACAGCTAGTCATGACATGCTATTTCATTGTTTGCTATGGAGAAGGAAATAACTTCACACTCCAACTTTTAAGACGATTCGTTGAAAATTAGAGCGTATTGCATCCCAACTCGAGCGTTCATCTTTTTTCATATCTTCAGATGATAGCTCTATCAATGCTTAACCTGTCAGGTGTTCTCATTTATTTCGCTGCACCCCCTCTCTCTCTCCCTCTTTCTCCCTCTCTCTCCCCTCCGACATTCCCCCACTAATCACGTGGACGGACATTCCCCCGACTAATTATCCGTACAGCAGTGATCGGCCGGCTCCGGGAACCATTTGTAGCGACCCCGCAGTGCCCGCGGCACTCGGTACTAAAGCAAGGGATGTAACGACTGGGTCGGTGGGAGGGGTTTGTCAGGGCGATGGTAGGGGATTTTGGTGGGGGTTTGTAGGGGAATATATGGGCGGTAGTAGGAGAATGTCAGGACGGTCGTAGGGGTTTGTCAGGATGATGGTAGGGGGTTTTGGTGGGGGTTTGTAGGGGATTTTAGTGTGGTTTGTAGGGGGCAGTGGTGTAGTGTGTACGGAAATATTAGGACGCTTATAGTTATGAGAATGCTAGGACAGGAAAAAGGCAATGTGTGGGCAAGAGATAGCCACATGGGGCATGGTGATAGAGATTGTTGACACGATAGAATGCTGAGCAATAGTTAGCAGGGCACTCAGCCGGTAGAGCATGATGTTGATCGGGCGTTCCGGAGGGTGGTGGTGTAGCGATGGGCTTAGTTACTAGTAGGACGATATCAGGAGATTTGGGCAAGGCAGTTGATGGCGATGGAAATGCTTGCCGATGTTATGGTGCAATGTCTAGTCGATGCTTCGGGCATATTAAAGCGATGCTTTGGCGACGCTTGGATGATGAACAATGATGTTAGAGCGACGTGGTTTGACGATAGTTTAGTGGGCGATGTTAGCGTAATATTTAGGTGCTGTCAGATCAGTGCCCAGGCAATTGTAGGCCGATTTTTGGACAGTGAATGCTGGTGCTGTTTAGGGCGATGTTGCCTCCATTGGACGATGAATCGCTCGTCGGTCTCCGGCGCCCCCAGCGCGGTAACGCCGCCCCCGACTGCCCCCACACCCAGCGCCAGTTCCGTGAGAGCGGCCCATCGCGTCGCCGGCGCGGCGTTCTCCGTACATCTACTGCGCGCTGGAAATTGGACGACTGCACACGGCCGAAACACGCCCGGTTCACGCGGCGCGTCAGTGCACGCCGAGTTCCACAGCGAGCGAGTGCGACTGTAAAACGCTAATGGCCCGGCAATGTTTCACTAAATTATCACCGGTCGGCAGGAGGTTCCCGGTACGAGGCGGCACCATTAGTGGCCGGTGCTGAGCGAGACAGGCGTTTGTGTGGGTGCTTACCACTTTTTGCTCGCTGCGTATGACTTACTGGAAACATTATTTATGCTCGGGTTATGGAGGTTTGAATTAATCTTGCAAAACAAAACACGAGCACGATGTGAGAAAGTTAATGAACAGTAACACGCTTTACGTTTATTACTTGTTTACCGTGCACGGCAATTAACCCGCGCCCTGGTGGGGGGGGGGGCTATTTTTTGCCCCCCCTCCAGACTTTTCGATATATCTCCAGAACCACTTCGCCGATCGTCACCAAACTTTCAGTACCCTCCCGGACATCAATTTTACACATTGTGACCAAAATTTTTTCCAAAGGCTATGATAGGTTGGCCGGAAATGACGTCAGAGTGACGTCATGTTCTGCCGTTTTCGACTCAAAAAAGGGTTTCGCGGGAAGAGCTTTCAGGCCTATAGCTTTGCAAATACAGAAAAATGATACAGACATAAAAGCTGTAGAATGAACAGGGCTACAAAACTGCTATCTCGGATTTTAGAAATTTTTGGATTTTGACCCCCAAAAATTAAAAAATAGATTTTTTGAATATAATAGCCAAAAAATCCAAAAAGTTTTTTGAATTTCAAAAAAAACCGGAATACATGTGATAGTCCTTACCGCCTTCTATCTACATACCAAATTTGAGATCGATACCTCTTTTTTTGGCCAAGTTATAGCGAAAAAACTGTTCAAAATTGATGACGTCAAATTTTCAAACTCAATTTTCAGCAATTCTAGACCTCGTAGCGCAAAACAAAGACCACCATTAGACTCCCCGTGACGAGCTGCATCGAATCAATACCCATTTTATGCAAAAATATCAACTTTGAAATTTGACCTTTTTTGACCTGACCTTGACCTGACCTCCACCAGAAAGTGACCTAAACCGTACCTGATGGTCTTATAACCAACACCATTGAGTTGGAAATGAAAAACTGGCCATAAAACATGCATCGCATAACCTTAGTAAAGTTGGGTTCATGTGGTGACCCTTGGTGACCTTTGGTGACCTGACCTGTGACCTGACCTGGTATGACCAGTGACCTCTAACAGCAACATATCTACTAGGCAACTGACGCCCTATCGCTGATTCCCGACAAAATGCGTTTTTCTCGGTGTTATAGCGCATTCCCTAGAAGACCCGTGAACGGTGAAACATTTCATCTTTGACCTGACCTGTGACGTCATCGGTGACCCCGAGGTCAATAAAATTTGGTTTCCCTCGACAAATTTGACAGGCCTTTCGAACGCCGTTTGAATTTTTCGGATCCGTTCAGTAGTTTCGGAGATACGAGGGGGGGCAAAAAATAGCCCCCCCCACCAGGTCGCGTTATAAACAGACCCCACCAGGGCGCGGGTTAAATTATTTCGCATCTATTTGGAACATGTTGACCACCTCATTATGTCTCTCAATCGGATGATGTAAATGATCTAATGAACGTTGTTCCATTTAACGCAACCTCATTTGCAAACTTTATTTGGCCTTTTCACAACAATGATATTTTAATTAGCTCCCTCCTTCCCGGAGCTCGACATTGACCAGTTCTTGGGATCACTTGTTGCCAGTTTTTGTCGTTTGTTTCTGCCTCGGGGTGTGTGGTCGGCCTGCGTGCCGTTCACTGCGGCCGCCGGCTGTTCCGTGGAACCCATTGGCTCTCTCCGGTCCGGGGGCGCCGCAGCCACAGCCGCGCGTGCGCCGCGCTCGTCCACCGGCCGTGTCATTGCCAGGTCACTGACCGCGCGCTGTCATTGGCCGTCGCCGCCGGTGGCGGCCGCTGATTGGCCGCCCGCGGCCGGCCCGGCCGCTGATTGGTCCATTGCCGTCGGGCCCCGTCGGGCGGCGTTCTGTGAAGTCGGGACGCGGCGGGCGCCGTTCTGTGGATTGGTTTCGGTGAACTGCCGTCGCCGGTACCGGCGGTGACTTTGTTCATTTGCCGCCGCCACACTCGAACGCCATTGCAGCAATACAGAAACTCGTAAACACGAACTGCGCTTGCACGCGCGATTCCGCGCGCCGCCCCGTCGGCGGGTTACGCCCATGCGGCGTTTCGTTTGGTGGCGTGTCGTGTCTGAAGGCTGTCATTAACGATTCGCCACCGTTCTGGTGACTGGTGGCGCGCCGCGCCGCATCCGTCCCATCTGCGCCACCCATGGTTCCGGCGCGCTTTGAGTGCCTGCCCGGGCCGCTGCCGGTCGTGGCGTGTCGACTGCGACTCGAATCGGCACCTGGGAGACTCGGAGGGACGATTAGTCGTGGCTGCTATTGCGAAAATGCACTTCTGGGTATGTGTTTTTGAAACGGTCGCAAAGGCTGGCATTAGAGGCTCATTAAAGAACATTAGAAGCCATTAGTGGCGGCAGAGAGTGGCCGCCTCATCGTGTTCTCCGCGGCGTGGACTTTTCGTCGCGGTACCCGCGCTATTTTCACCGTGATGCAATATTCACGAAAGGTTTTCCACGAAACGTGAATTGACTTGGCACACTAAACTGACGGTGTGTCGCGGTGCGTTCTTCAACTGTTTTCATTTCACGCCAACTCCCTAACGTGCTGCGTCTCATTGTCCCCGTCTCTCTCTCTCCTCTCTCTCTCTCTCTCTCTCTCTCTCTCTCTCTCTCTCTCTCTCTCTCTCTCTCTCTCTCTCTCTCTCTCTCTCTCTCTCTCTCTCTCTCTCTCTCTCTCTCTCTCTCTCTCTCTCTCTCTCTCTCTCTCTCCCTCTCTCCCTCTCCCTCTCCCTCTCCCTCTCCCTCTCCCTCTCCCTCTCCCTCTCCCTCTCCCTCTCCCTCTCCCTCTCCCTCTCCCTCTCCCTCTCCCTCTCCCTCTCCCTCTCCCTCTCCCTCTCCCTCTCCCTCTCCCTCTCCCTCTCCCTCTCCCTCTCCCTCTCCCTGTCCCTCTCCCTCTCCCTCTCCCTCCCCCTCCTCCTCCCCCTCTCCCTCCCTCCCCTCATCACTTATCTTCACTCTCTCAACTCTTCTCTTCTCTAGTCGCGTCAACCGACTTTTTCTCTTTAGCCTTTGTCTTTCCACTTATCCTCGATGTAGTCGTGTCTCCTCATGTTCTCCGTCTCTGTATGTCTCTTCATTCGGCATGTGTCTCCTCTGTCAGTTCTATCTGTTCTTTCAGTTATCGTGTCTCTTTTTCGTCTCAATTTTTGTCCATTTACATTGTTATAGTATTGTCACTGTCTGCGAAAAAACAATGTCGAACTCTTCTAATCTCCTTTCCGTCCCTGTGTCTCATTCTCTCTTATTTCATGACTTTTTCGTTGCCTTTCTCTCCACGTGTCTCGTTTGTTGTCGCTCTGTTCGTTTTTCTCTCGTCTCCACGTGTCATCTGTCCATCTCTGCACGTGCCGCTCCCCATCCGCCCCGTGTTCTGACTGGCGCTCCTCCATCACGGGGCGCTGACGGGCCGTACCGCCGCCGACGCTCGTAAGTGACGGCACA